CTTCAGCTAGACTAGGGAGAGATAAGGTATATCTGTAGCTGACTGTTGTGAGGACTGTCAGAGTGAGACTGGAAAGTGTGTTTTGACTTCATCTTTCTCAGAGGATAGCTCTCCACCTGCCAGACTCTCTCCAGCTGAGAACAAGATACTAACTAGTCTTAGGCCGTACCAATATAGTATTGACTCACTGGAAAGCTGGTCTAGAGAAATGTCTTGTGTATCTCTAGAGTGTGGCGAGGTTCTTCGTTTGCGGGTGACTTTAAAGTGACCCATTGAGAAAAGACCCTTCAAAGTTGACTTTTTCCTACAGAGCACACACAACATGGTATAATTATGAAAAAACATCCCAAGTGCACATGCGTATACAGAGATCCACCTTCTCATTAGCCAGATAGCAGCAATGATGCACAGAGTGGCTCCAATAATGAAGAGGAGAGAAACTATCACACCAGCCACTACTCCACCAACATCACTGCCACCTTCTCTAGTGTCTGCCTGTAGTAGGGAGAGGAGTTGACTCAGATTTTGAACTAATGGTATATGTGTGAGTGTAAAATGTTGTGTTGCACACAGTGCAGTAGTGACATATGTACATAAGGTTTGCAGTAAACACGTACCTAAGGTGCTAGCAAGCAAGCTATCATTAGTGAAGGGTCCAGCTGCAATCGTGAATGCAGCTACTTGAATCTCATACTCAGTCGATGGTTCTAATCCAGATATCATGTACTCCATTGCGCTTCCTCTGCTCTTCTGTGCTTCAGCGAAATTCCATTGTCAAGTTTTCTGAACATTACCACATATCCAGTGATGTTTCCATTACGATGATCACAAGGTACTGGACTCCACATGATAGTAATACTTGCTGAAGACTTCTCTTTTAGTTTTATTTTTTCTGGAGCTGCAGATGGAGCTGAAAAATAAATTGTGTCATTTTACAATCAACAATAATGCAAAAAACATACCATCCTGATTAGTTGTCACAATACTAAAAGCACAAGTGGAGTTATTGATGCAGACTGTGATATTGTACTCGGTATACTCTTCCAGAGCAGGTATCATGTACATGGTGCTGTTAGATAAATGATGAGTTTTGAAACTTTTGCCATTATCTACACATTGACTTGAAGTCCTGTTCCATGTGATTAGCACATCATTCTCCACTTGGCCCAATGTTACGCCAATTGTAGTCGAGGCCACACTAACTTCAACTGTGCACACAGAGATCAAGCAAGGGTAGATACACTCAAAGAACTAAACTTACATGGCAACGTTGAAGCGTTCAAGTTTCCAAAAACTCCAACACCGGCATCGTTCTTTGCTGCCACTTGAATCACATATGTTGTTGAAGACTGCAGGCCTGTTAGTGTGTAACTAGTTCCAGTTGTGTTTCCATCCAACTTTGTTTCATTTCCACTCCCCCTTTCCCAATACTTTATTTTATAACCCCTGATATTCCCATTCTGATGGGCACAGTCAACAGGCTTCCAACTGATGGTGATGGTGAAGAGTGTCTGGTTTACTGCCACTATGTCTTGTGGTGGGGCAGATGGTGCTGCAGAAATATTATTTAACATGATGTGTGATGGTTTGATTAAATGACTGTACCTGCTGCCCGGGTCTCATTAAGAACACTCTCTGTTTTTCTTCCCACAGCATTACCTACCACCACTGTGACATTGTATTTACTGTTAGGAACTAGTCCAGTGATGCTTAGATTCATTGGATTCACATCATATGTCTGGTCAGTAATGTTAGAGCTTCCGAGGCCATTGTTACAGTGCAAAAATCTCAACCAAGTCACATTGGACATAATACGATAGATCCCATTTTCTACATAGTTACTAAGGTTTATCATCAATGAGAAACCATGGCTAGTAGATGCCACATCAATGTTGAAACTACCTGGATTGGTAACTTAAATAGAGAAGATATAATTTTGTGAGACAGAAACTTTTAGCAACAAGGAAGAAAATTACCTAAAGTTATATTGCGGGTTGTAATATTACTTGGGAGATCTGAAACACTAACCACATACACACTGTAGCACTGCCCTACCATCAAGCCTGTCAGTGTTTCAACTGTTGAGGAAGTAAACACTGGTTGGTTGATACAGTCAGAGGAGGTGCACTGAGTCCAGAACACTCTGTATCCAGTAATGTTTGCAGACTGAGGAGGTGGACTCCATGATGCATTGATGCTTGTCTCATTATTTTGCTCCAGCATCAGATTAGTTGGGGATGGAACTGGAATAGCCAAATGAACCAACAATGTGTACCGTTATCATCCCTATTACAACTGTACTTACAGCTAACTATGATACTCGATGAGTTACTGGATGGCTTGTTATTGGACACAGTACATGTGTAGTTTCCTCCCACCAGAGTCCCAGTCACAGTCAGAGTGTGGGTGTACTGTGCAGTCACTGGGTCATTCAACACAGTCTCAGTTGTTCCTTGGGTGACAGTGGTGGAGTCTCTGGTCCAAGTGACAGTAGTAGCAGGTCCACCAGTGGAGATACAGGTGAGGATGAGTTGGGAAATGCAACTATGCATGATCTCTAAATTTGTTTTGATCTCAGTTACTGTGATATCACCTAATGAATGACAATAAAAAGTTGTTGGTGTTGCTAGCACTTCTCACCTCCTCCATTGAGATAGAGTCCAACATATACTGTATCTCGTACACTACTATCAGAGTCATCATGAACTTCATTGGTTGGTATGTCGCAGCGATATATACCAGATGTACCCTGTGTCCTACGGCGAAGATCAACCCTTTGGTCACCTCGACTCTCACCAACAGCTGGTGTAGGAGAATCGGTACTGAATGGAAGTCGTGTCCCATTAGGAAAGTACCAGTCTCCTCTGTGTGAACCCTGTGGACCACTGCAGCATGTTGTTGTAAGATCAGTGTGACACTGAACACTGTCACTACCACTGGCATCATTCCCCACAAGACTGAGGTCCACATAGCTATGGTTTGCCAGCCATCCCTACATATAGAGCGTCTACCGACGCTCTGATAGAAAAATCGCGCCGTTCGGACCACTAGGTTAGCTCGCTTCCGCTCGCCAATTACGAGTCTAAAAAGTGACTGATGGGAGAGAATGCATGCGGTGCTTTTGTGAGCACCAGACTATGACATATCTGTCTGCTACCGTGGCCCGTTGCGCCAGCATATAATGACCTTTCGCCGCGCACGTATGGCAAGCGAAGTGTAACAAAACTAAATGGCACGTTCAAGACACGTAAGCGTACGTTGGAGACACATACGTACGTATAAAACGTACGTTCGTACGGACGGACGTACGTTTCAAACGTACGTTCATACGTACGTCTCCGTCCATACGCGTATCCGTTATGCGCATTATCGTACAGCGAGTGTTCGGCGCAGTTGAGAGTATAGTATGGCTCGTGAAGTGATATGCTACTTCGAAGGAAGGAGGAGGCCTGTGTCATTTTGTTACTCTGAAGCTAATAGCGTGAAAGAAGCTCACGATAGTCCAGAGCGAAAATAGTCATCCAATCCCGGAACTCCGCGTAGGTGATCGCAAAAATCAGAGCACACAGTTATCGTGTACTCAAAGCGTTCCACTACATACTCGGTGTAGTTACGATTAGCTAAACCATAATATTGTCTCTCAGCTTCTTCAATCAAGTGACGAATTTCATCAAAAAAACAAACTGACCCGTATGCTGAGCTTATGATACTCTCTCACATGATAGTCACATACGGCGTGATGTTTAGCACGTGACTGACCCACAGACGTACGTATAATGAACGCGTCTGAACGACGCTTACCTACGTTCGTATAATATGAACGTACGTTTTAGACGCACGTTTGTGTCTCCAACGTACGTTTTATGAGTACGTATGTGTCTCCAACGTACGTTTTAGACGTACGTATGTGTCTCCAACGTACGTTTACGTGTCTTGAACGTGCCATTTAGTTTTGTTACACTTCGCTTGCCATACGTCCTACAACGGCCAAACTCTAGAGCGTCCCACAGACTCTCTAGAGCGTCCTAGAACAGCCAACCCCCCTAGAGCGTCTTGGAGAAACTCCAGAGCATACGCATGCGCCGTAGTAGTAGATTGTTCTTGCCTTCCATATGGCCGACGGTGGGGAGAACGTGACCTCCGAAAACGAAAATCTAGAAGCCAGCATTGGTGAGAGTGTCTGTAGAACCCTCTACAGTTTGGTCGATTTTTGTTACGTTTGGCGTGCCATACGCACGCACTTACGCGAACGACACACATCTGCGCATGGTGTAGTTTACGGACTAATGATAGCAACACCATAAAAATCTGATATGACGATAAAATAAAAACTTATGTTGTAAAATATGAGTATGTTTCAAATGAGTCAATGAACACCAAAAGAGCTTCAAAAATTGACTGATACTGTTCCTGTTGAAAAAGCACCTGTTTAGTAAATGCAAAGAACTATGAAAGCTATACACATACCAACGTTGGTATATATGGCCCAAGGTTTCTGAACTCTCATGGCCTTGACCACCTGGAACACATCCACCACTCCCTCTGTCTTACACCTCTCAATGGTGGTGCCACACCACAGAATATGGCCGATCTACTCACTGTATCACTGTATAGCAATTAATAGAGTTGGATACACCATAATGTTCAGAACTTGGTCACTCTTCTATTGATCCCCATAACGACAGTAAAGATGAACTCCATGCATGTCTTGTAAATGGCGCCAGTTGTAAAATAATAATTTTGGCCGGGTTGTGTGGACATTGACTCGCACAGAGCCATACAATGACAGTGAATGTCTTCAATTTGTCATAGCTTTTAACGTGCATTAAAATTTTTACACTCCATGTCAGTAGGAAAATGGGTTGTTGTGGGTATTATGCCTTGCAGTTGCTTTTTCGTCCATTGACAGCTTCATAATGATCCACTAGCAAAACTCACAGTCCATGGACGACAATGGGGTGGTTCCCAGTCTTCCTCTGGACCTTGGAGACTTCCTCTATGACAGAGACCATGGCATTCACATCCCCACACCACTGGTAGTCTGAGCTCCACTCTGGGATGTGGAACTGATGGGCTGTGGCAAACTGCAGTTGCACAAAATGTCACAGTGCAGACAACGCAAGGCACCCGAGGTGAAGAAGAATTCTGATGACTTTGTGCTTTTACTGCATCTACCTAATCATAGGAATAATTCAAGGGAACTCCCACTTTATGTAACACTGACAGTACAATTATGCAATGGCATGCTTGGTAAAAATCATAATTATGAACATTTGTATCTGATGATGGGGGTCTTCCCCTCCAGCTCTGGCTATAGCACCAATCTCCACCTCAGAGTAGCCCAGGTAGACCGCCAGGGTCACCCAGTTCTGACCCAGTGCCTGTATCACTCATACACACACGGTGGGTTGCTGTGGCCTGTGACATAATTATTACCATTACATTAGTGGGAACTTAAGACTTTCGAGTGAAGGAAAAGACAATTACTCTTACATTTTCAACAACATGTTAAAGGACTTGCCCTATTTCCCCCAAAATATGCAGGGTTGCATACAAATTTTGATGCATTATAATTTATGGTATGTGTACGGGTCCACTTTCTAGACAACGCAAGGCACCCGAGGTGAAGAAGAATTCTGATGACTTTGTGTTTACTGCATCTACCTAATCATAGGAATAATTCAAGGGTAATCCCACTGTATGTAACACTGACGGTACAATTATGCAATGGCATGCGTGGTAAAAATCATATGCACAATGAAACTGTGCAGTATATACCATGTGTGTATACATGTGCTACTTACAGTAGGGTAAGAGCAGGCTGAGGTATCGCCAGTGTGTCCCATGAGCAGAAGAGCTGACACCAGCTTGTGTAATGAAACTCAGGAGCAATCTGGATGATCTTCTTGAGATCTACGATGGGGCCGTAGTTGCTCAGCCCAAGCTTCTCTGTCAGCATGGCTGCGTCTCCTTCAGGTAGGTTTGTTGATGATACTCTCTGGTGTATAACTGCCAAGTCTACGGAACATAGACAACTGCCTTGAAAAACATTACGGACACAACGGTTCAGTATTATACTGCGTCACTGCAATCAAAAGCAAAGCTGCACAGACCATGCTTCAGTACACCAGATAACAGTATTTATATAGAGTGTGATTGTACCATCGAAATTGATGTCTGGCAACTTTAACTTGAATCTCACTGCGAACCAAAAGTCATGAAAGTTGGTACATTAGTACTACAAAAGCCACATAGTACATACCTACTGGTTGAATTCCACTGACAGCCATGCCGTGACACCACACACTCCCAGACTCCTCATAGCAGTCCAGCAGAGCCAAGTAGACCCCCTCCACCATACTGCTCAACTCCTGCTCACGAGACCTCCCATTCAGCAACCTCTCCAAGCTGCTCGCGGCTTCAGTGTCGGACTGGCTGAGGATGATCGACCTGACTTTACTGGCCACTACACCTCGCCTCACGAGATGTGGCAACAGCTGTTCCACACACTTGCATAGCAAGAGATACGGGGATATGGCGACGATCACTTGGTGAGCATAGTCCCTGGCTGCATGGAGGGGCGAGGAGGTATGTGTGTACATGTGGGTGCATTCACAGAGCAAATAGGGGCAAATAGGGGGCAGCCACCACGCCGGCCTACCAAGGTGGTGGACAAACAAGTGACACGATGTCCTTAAAGTCTGGTCACAACCGGTGTGTCTGTTCCAGTGTGTGCTATGATACTACATCGCAATCCTACAACTCAAGGAAGGGCTGTGGCTGATGTCCATGCACATACGGACTTGTGGTCGTGTAGTTATCGATTGTGGTTCTGTACGCTGTAACTGTACAACATATAGTCTCAAGGGAGTACTCTTCACACACCAGTAATGGGACTCAAACGTTGTTATGAGTTATCACCAACAGTACATCTCTGACCTGCACTCAGATATGTTGTGTATTTAATATCTGTAATAAATGTGGCATGCATATATGTGGGTGAGACAAGTCAGAGAAGCCTTAGATATAGGTTATCTAACACCACGAGAGTAGTCTGAAGAGGTTGACGAACCTATATTTCATATCATCATTTAGTTCTGATGGTCACTCTGGAGGATGATATTTGCATTATGCCCATTGAAGAAATACCAGCTAGTGATAGGGCTAATGTAACGTCAATACGACTGGAAAGGGAAGACTATTGGTGTAGGGAACTGTGTACCTACTATCCGTATGGGCTAAATGACAATGTGAGAGGTGTGGGTAATATATCTAAACAGCCTGGATTGGTAGTGAACGCATTATTTAATAGAAGGTATAGGAAGTTTAAGAAGAGAAAGCACCGTAGACATAGAAAGAAGCTCAATTTAAATGATCTAACTTCTAGTGTTGAGAATTGTTTACATAGTTATAAGTCTCGTATGTTAGGAGTTTAGTCCTTAGCTTACCAGTGAAATGGATGGGAGTATTATGGAATGTTTTTCAATGTTGGAGGCAGAGCACACGATGTACCTGATCGCATTGCTGTTTTAATGAAGGATTTGATTGCTTTCAGGAGGAGAGCCTTGCATATAGGGGAATGTAATGTAGATGAGAAACTTCTAGAAATACATCAGGGTATATGAGCGTTCACTATCATAACAAGGGTATTGACATGGTCAATCTCCCTAGAATATTGAACAGCAAGTATGTTAGAGATGCAGTGCCTAACTTTGTACATAATGCAACACCTCCCATAGTGAGCTTTAAATACACTAAAACTATTGCCGGAAAGATTTTCAATCAGAAGAAGGTAGTTGAGGGGCTAGATGTTGATATGGGTACTAGAGATATGTGTTGTGATTGTAATACGAGTAAATACTGTTACACACCTGTTGGACATGTCGTTACTGGAGACTTGAATATCGTAAGGGATGCAAAGCTTCGAAGCTTATAGAGAAAGGACCATCTTACAGAGAACAAAACTATGTTGATTGGAGCATTACTGAAAAGTTATGTAAGGAGGCAGTAACCAAATATAAACGTAAATGGTCGCGTAGAGAAAGGATAGACATAAGAGCATTAAATGAGTGGGAATGTAAGGTAAAAGAATGTGTTCAGAAAAGAATTACCTCGCTGAAGAGAAAGCATATAAATAGAAGGAAAATGCATATCCTGAAGAATAGAGTGCATTCAAGGTCTCTAGAGGAGCTTCATAATAAGTAGGTATTAGTACGGCTGATAAGGCAGCACAAAATGTGATTATAGTTGTAAGAAGTATATTTGGAAATTAAAGAAATCGACACCACTATCACGTATGAGCATGTTATGGAGGGATGTCAAGGCATTGTTGATAGACACGTTATTTTTTGAATAACCACCGCATTGATGTACGACCTGAGTATAGATGCTTGCTGTGTTTTATTGGCTTCCAAAGCTTCATAAACGGCCTTATGGTACTAGGTCATAGCTGCATCACACAGGTGCACTACAAAACCTTATCTAACTACTTAGCTACTAGCTGCCTTAAACTAATCTCCACCCATTATAAACAATATTGTAACGGCATTTTTGTAGGACTGAGTAATTGTTTTTGGAATCGTTGATAACTCCCAGCAGGTGCTTTCAAATTTAGCAAAATAAATTATTTTCTACGGCCAGTGCATTTTGATAGCTACGACTTTTCTACATTGTACACAAGCATTCCACATGTAGCAACTCAAAGAGGCTTTTAGAGACTCTAGTTCAGGAAGCATACATGGTGAGAGACATGAGTCATTTATAGCAGATGGTACTGGAAATGCGTACTGGTCTGATGTACCATCGAACATCCTGCATGAAACATAAATATTACTGAAGAGATGCTAGTCACATATGTGGAATACCTGATAGATAATATTTATGTTAGTATAGGTAATTAGAATATATAGACAGTGTATAGGGATTCCAATGGGAACGGATTGTGCGCCGTTGGTGGCAAATTTGTTTCTGTTTTACTATGAATATAGATATATGAAGAATATGATAAAAACTAATTTGATTCTGGCAAAAAGATTTAGTACACAATGAGTATATTGATGATTTGCTGACATTGAAATAACACATCGTTTAATTCGGCCATTGATGACATATACCCAGAGGAGCTTAAACTAAAAAGAACATCTGAATCACCAACAACACTGTCATACTTAGATATACATATTAACTATAACCAAATGGGAAATATTCCACAGCAGATATGATAAACGGGATGATTTTAACTTCAAAATTGTAAATTTTCCATATCTAATTTCCAATATTCTATCTGGACCAGCATACGGAGTTATATTTCCCATAGTACGTATAGGTAGAATATGTAGTGATGATACTCGGATTTTACGTTGAGACATTTCAACTAACGGAGCGACTGATTCATCAAGATACATACTCTGATTTGTGCGGTCCTTTTATAAGTTTGCTAAAAAGCACGCACAAATATGATTAAATATAGCTACGGATACGCAAAACATGTGGAGGATGGTATATGTCTGCCAGCAATGGATAGATTCCTCAGTCGCCATGTGTCGCATAGATAGAATGTATATTTATAGTCACATATTTATTTTGAATAATTGTCTATTTTTAACATTTCTATTTCTACCATTTCTACTATATTATATATTTTTTATATTTTGTTTCTACACGTGTATATGCTGGCGTATTTAAAGTAATCGACAGACAAACTATAATCTTATTTTAGGAGTTCTATTTTTTCATTTTCTTACACGTGTATATGCTGTGCGTATTTAGAATAATCGCACGTTTTTATGTCTTCCGTCGTGTCGTCGTGTGCGTGAGTTTCAGAGTTTTTTATATTTTTCTATGAGTTTAGTGGTCCTTTGAGGCTTTCTATTTTTCTACCGGCTGTTTGTTTTTATCCGTAGCTGTCGTTTTTTGTACATGATTTCTATCTATTTATTTTATAACTATGTGTAAGGGAGGTTGGGACACTGGGTGTGTAGGAGAGTTGGGCCCATTAAAGACTCTTTAACCTACCCGCCCGGTTCTCAAGGCGGGCACCCAGGGGTCCCGCTCTTTCTTTCTGTTTATATATGTTATTGTCTGTGTTTTTGTCACGCGTGGGTATGTTGATGTCTGTGTTTTGTGGCGTGGGTGAGTTCTTTTCTTTTCCTCTGAGCTAGTATGCATATAAACCTGTTTGTTTTCATGTCTCTACTGTTTTAGCATCAATCCGACAGTATGAGGTGGATCACACGCATGTATACAAGCTATCTAATACACATTATTATGTGCCAGCAACTATGTATGTAGCTATGTGGTTCGACTGTTGTTAGTACTCCTCTGATAAACTAAACGTGCAGGAAAAGCGGCTTACCGTAGTCGCCCTGTCAGAGCGAACATCTCGCAAACGTACTGTATCCCATTCTCTCTCCTCCGCTACGGCGAGACTCCATCTTGGACTCGGTATTAGTTCCAGCCCCTTCATCCACGCCCCTTTACACGCGCAGCGCATCGGCAGTTGAACTACAGGATCTCAGGAGTAATCAACATCATGAAGTGAACTAAAAACTAAGACAACGATTGTGTTGCATGAGCTTATAGCTATAACACGTCTAAGAAAGCAGATTGAGTATGTTTCATATACGCTAAAGAGCTTCAAAGATCGACTTATACTGTTCTGCAGTGGAAAAATGTGTGTTGATCAAACATTATAAAATGCTAGTACTCCTACCAAGGTTTTATGGCTCAGGTTTCTGAGCTCTGATGGCCTTGACCACCTGGAAACACATCCACCACTCCCTCCTCTCAATGGTGGTGGCCACACCACAGATATTGCCGATCTATCACTGTGTTACTGCAGATCATTGAAATAGAGGATGCAAATAATGGTGCAAATGGCCACGCCAGATTGTGACACATTCAGTCTGCTGCATACGTGG